CCTCAGGTGGGCAGTCTCTTGACGGCCTTTCCTTCAGTCTCTGCTCCACACTTTGGCCCTGTATTTCCTCTAGACAGGAGCTATTCTATTTTTAAAATTTGGAGATGAATGGGTCGTCCCATCCCCCAACCGGGGGCCTTGCCTAAGCTCTGGATATGGTCTCTATAGGTTCTCCCTCCCCTTTGTTGGGCATTTCAGCTATTCTCATCCCCATTGGATTCTGGAAGACTTTTGCTTTTCTGGCATCTGGGACTTGCTGGTGGCTGTCTGCAGTTTCCTATCCCCTGTTGCTATACTCCTCTGTTTAAATTACTGACCCTCTATATATCATCCCCATCTCTTCCCAAGCCTGGTCCTGCCTGCCTTTTCCTCCTCTCCCTTCTCTCTTCCTCCCAAGTCCCTCCTACCCTCTACCTCCTGTGAGTATTTTGTTCTCCCTTCTGAGAAGTACTGAAACATCCACATTTTGGTCTTCCTTCTTGAGCTTCATATAGTCTGTGAATTGTATCTTGGGTATTCCGAGCTTTTGGGCTAATATCCACTATTCAGTGAGTACATACCATGTGTGTTCTTTTGTGACTGGGTTACCTCACTCAGGATGATATTTTCTATTTCCGTCCATTTGCCTAAGAATTTCATGAAGTCGTTGTTTTTAATAGCTGAGTAATACTCCATTGTGAAACTGTATCACATTTTCTGTATCCATTCCTCTGTTGAAGAACATCTGGCTTTCCAACTTCTGGCTATTATAAATAAGGCTGCTATGAACATAGTGGAGCACGTGTCCTTGTTATATGTTGGAGCATCTTCTGGATATATGCCCAGGAGTGGTATAGCTGGATCCTTAGGTAGTGTACTATGTCCAATTTTTTGAGGAACCACCACACTGATTTCCTGAGTGGTTGTACCAGCTTGCAATCCCAACAGTGAAAGAGTGTTCCTCTGTTTGAATTCTTAATTTAGTAATGTGAAAATGAACCTTTTCCTGGTGCTCTATGGTTCTTCTTTGAAGTAAAGGACGTTGTGAAGACTAATGTAGGGAATTTTGAGGAAGTCCAGTCACCAGAAATCAGAATTGAATGGTGGATAAAAGAAAAGCATCCATCTCTTCAGATGACTTCTTCAGCACAATGTGTTGATGGCTAGTAGCAAGCTAGGTGACAAAGGAGTGGGGTTGGGCTCTGTAGTAGCCTCTGGTCTGCTGAACAAGAGACCCTGGAAATGCCTCAGCCAGTGGCCTTGAGCCTCAGTGGGAGTTTCAGGACATCTTCTGTCTTTACTTAAGCTGGTAGTTCACCATCATTGTCTGGGTATAGATTCAATGGAAATCAGATAAATGGCGATGTTCGAAACTACAATTCTAGCCAGGCGGTGGTGGCGCACGCCTTTAATCCCAGCACTTAGGAGGCAGAGACAGGTGGATTTCTGAGTTTGAGGCCAGCCTGCTCTACAGAGTGAGTTCCAGGACAGCCAGAACTACACAGAGAAACCTTGTCTCGAAAAACAAACAGAAAAAAAGAAAGAAAGAAAGAAAGAAAGAAAGAAAGAAAGAAAGAAAGAAAGAGAGAGAGAGAAAGAAGGAAAGAAGGAAAGAAGGAAGGAAAGAAAGAAAGAAAGAAGAAAGAAAGAGAGAAAGAGGGAAAGAGGGAAAGAAGGAAAGAAGGAAAGAAAGAAAGAAAGAAAGAAAGAGAGAAAGAGAGAAAGAGAGAAAGAGAGAAAGAGAGAAGAAAGAAAGAAACTACAATTCTGATGCGTACCTTCAGCTCTCGGGTGCAAAGCAGTGTTTTTAAAAGAGATTTTGAGTGTTAGAATCCATACCAAAAAAAAAAAAAAATGGAAAATAAAGTGCCAGGCTGCAGTAGGCCATTTTGAAACGCTTTGATTAATTACTATAGAAAGACTAAAGCCACCGACAATGTGGAAAATTTGGAAAAATGATATGTTTAGAGAGAGCCCTGTTGGGAGTGTGAATTGATAGAGAAAGGGGATGGGATCTTGGAGTGCTGCTCTGTTCTTAGGGTTTCCTCCTGGTTTTGAGACATTTCAGCCTTCACTGTTCACTGCCTCAATCTTCCCAGGTTTAAAATAGTAGTCTCCTCTTGAGGCTATGATTCTGATGGGAAAGAACAAAAACAAGACAAAACAAAGCAGAACCACTCGGCCAGTGGACTATTGGCTCATGCTTTCATTTCTGTGATGGAGAAGGGTTTTTTTTTTTTCACCCATACTTTCTTTTTTAGTTTCTTTCTTCTACATATTTTTCATGTCATTTGTAACTGTTGAAAATGTGTAAGGAGATCATATAATTCCTGCTTAGGAAAGGCCTCTCTTTTTTTTTTTCTTCTACTCTTTTACACTCTGTTGATTTGCGATATATCACTCTTCCCCAGAGTAATTAATTGCAATTCTGCAAGCCAATGAAAAACGGGCAGCAGAAGCTGATGGACCTTAAACAATAAATATTTGTATTTTATGCAGCTGCCACTAGTAATTAAGAGAAAATAACTAAGTAGAATGGACCCGAACCCGCTCGATTGCTTTGAAGGAGTGGTCACTAATTCTCGGTACATTTATTAGCAGGAGCAAGCATGGAACAGTTTGCTGACTGTCTATGGTACATTGCCACCTTGTGGCCATAATTTTCCTAGCCATGGAAAAGAGCAACTTAGAGCCTTATTTCATAGTTTTCCCAGTTTTTTCCTTATGACCTTAATTCAAAAATTGGAGATATTGTGTGATAACATACAGATTATAGAATAGAGGCATTTAAGAGGTTATGTTCTTAGAAGAGGCATGTTAAAGTATTTACGAGGGAAGGTCTGTCTGCAGCTGACACTGGGGGTGGGGTGCACATGCATGGATATGGGGGGGCAGTGAAAGCCGTGTGGATAAAGAATAATATTTCTGCCTTGGCACATAGACAAAGGGTGTTTATTCTCTCTCTCATTCCATCCCATGCTTCCATAGTCACAGGTTTTTCTTCTGAAAAATTTCAATGCAATAACAACAACAACAACAACAACAACAACAACAACAATAAATTGGCAGTTTAAAAAAAGACACACAGGTAAGGACATACAGCGAAACCAAGAATAGGGAATCTCTGTGCTGTTTAACAGTCTGACTGCAGATGGCTTCTGCATTTTCCAGTCCCTCATGAGTAACTAACTGTTTGGGTACTTCATTGTCTGTAGGATTTAAGGGTAAAGCGTCTAAAGCTGGGCAGGAGTCTCTCCTTGGAGGCTCCCATAAATGGACATCTATGTCATGAACAGCAGCCAGCTGACATCTTCAGATGACTCCACCCCCTCCTTTGAAAGGGCTGTTTCTTTGAAAAGTGCCCTCTGGAGTCCCTTCCCCACCTGATTTGGCTTTGATCCTGGAGTGGATGGACTGCTCATTCTTCAGGGTCCTCTCACTACAAAACCAACTGGCAACGAGACGCAGCAAAGACCCAAGTGCCTGGGAATTGGAAATGGTTCTTTTTAAGGTGTTCTTGAAATCCATTGCATGTTGCTATTGAACACAGTTGAGGTTGGAGAACGTCCACACCTTGTGGAACTGAACCAATGAAGGTTCAGTCAACTGTCTAGGGAGGGGATGCCCAGTGCCAGGCAGCAGTTTCTTTTTGAGGCGGTTTCGAATATGCACGTGGACATGCACATGAACAGGCAAATGGATGATCTTGTTTTTTTATTTTTTTTCTCCTATAAGAAGATCTATGACAGTCTTAGAAACAAATCAGATAATTATATTTGAGCTTCCATCTCTTTCCCACGATAGCAAAGCTGACTTTGGTAAAAACCATCTTTAAAACAGCATTTAGCAGTGTTGTCCACGTATTTCCTGCATTTAAAATTATAGGAGTTGCCCTTTTGTGTGACAACTGGAATTTTATTTTGGGGGCCCTTAATAGTGATAAACACATATGTATATGCCCAGGGCTATTTTTGTCTTAATGCTACCTTGGCATAGTTTTGGACATTTCTACTTGAACATGTAGATGGAACAGCTCTCTTCGGGTGTTCTCATGAAAGTGGAGCAGATCTTGACATGACTGCTTTGACCCAGGGGATTCTTTTGTAGAAAACTGTCTCTTGAAGTGACTTTGGTTTCTCTTGATTCTTGTGACAAGCTTTCTTTTTAAGAGCTATAGAGTGATATAAGGATGTATTGATTTCCATTAAGGGCTGCAGTGCTTAGAGAGTCCTCTCCTGTGCTTGTATGTCTGAGCAATATGTGAAATTTGATCTGCTTTTATATAGCAATATTTCAAAGTGGGGGGATCCACAGAAGGACATATTTTATACAGGGGTCCAGTATACACATGCATGCATGTCGAATTCACTCAGCTATGAAATAATACATTCCTTTTTGCTCTGTGTGTGTATGTAGTTGTATGATGTTAATTGTACATGTGTCTGTGTATGTGTGCATATGGCACAGGTCAACCTCCGGAATTATTTTTCAGGAACTACCCATTCTTTGGAAGAGGTATTTCATTGGTCTGGAACTTTCCAGATAGGTTAAACTAATTTGCCAGCAAGCCCAGGTACCCAATCCAATCTAGGGTTGGGATTACAAGCATGTGCTACCATGCCAAGGTTTTTTATCTGGATGTTGGGGAACAAACTTGGGTCCTCATGCCTTTATGGCAAACACTTTGGTGACCAAGCCATCTTTCCAGCTCTGGTAGGGCTCTAATAATAAATATTCCACTGCATTAAAACTTGTGGTCATAATCTACTAACCTTAGTCCTATGGCCTGCTGCTCATGTGTTGTGACTGGCCAACAAAACCCAGTACTGGGATTTTGCAGGGAGCAATCCTGATTCTCTGGTGGAAGGTACAAGAGTAAAATTCAGTGCTCCCCAAACTCATCAAATCAAAAACAGCGCTGGAGAGAGCATGTTTAGGGAAGGAGATGCAGAGCGGAGAGCCTGAGAGCCGGCTGTGCCGAGTGTCCCCAGGAAATGATGCCACTGTCCTTCTCTCCACAGCTTGACCACATACTGTCTCCGCCACCCATGCCGTTTCGGAAATGCAGCAACCCAGATGTGGCCTGTGGCCTCGGAAAGTCACTGAAGTACAAGCGACAGCTCAGTGAGGATGGGAAGCAGCTGCGGCGAGGGAGCCTGGGAGGAGCCCTCACCGGTGAGTCAGGGGACACGGGTCAGAAGAGGAATTGTGCTTCTCCTACAGGGTCTGTGTGTAAAAGCCTGCACACAGACCCTTTTGGAAAGTGTTACCTAGTCCAGAAAACAGTTTAAATTAAGAACTTAGAGCAGTAAAATTTATGGAATATAGTTTACATACAATGACATGGTCATATTTTGTATATACACAAGTACATTGAGGAAAATTTATATTTAGTGTAACTACCAGCAATGATCAAACTGTAGCTGGCAAAAGACAATAAGCCATACACACCCATACGTATAGAGACACACACACTCAGAGACACACACACTCAGAGACACACAGTCACACATACACAGGCACACATACAGAGATACAGATGCCCACAGATGCACACACACACACACACACACACACACACACACACACACACTCCTTGTCCCAAGGTAACTGTATATCCACTTTCTCTGCAGATGAGATTAATCCTAAGTGTTTCGGGTTAACTAGGACATATAGTCTGTGTGTTATATCTGCTCTGTTACTCAGCATACCACTTTAATGATATGTATGTATCATTGTATCAATAGTAAGTGTTCATAAGAAATTGACAAGGTGTCCAAATACAAACACTTTATACTCCCACCAACAGTAGGTGAGCAAAGTAATTAGTGTGTCTTCTGACGAACCTATGGTATGACCAGTCTTTGTGAATTTGGTCATTTTCATTGTCCTAGATATTGTAGTTTTCTTTTGAGTTTTCTGTTAGCTTCCTGCTACTCTAACAGGAGCCTGAGACAATCAAACTATAAAAAGAGAAGGTTTCTTTGGGCTTGCTGCTTTAGTAAGCTCAGTAGGCTTCATTGCTTTGGGGGTGTGCAAATCAGTAACCCATGACTGGAAGCACATAGTAGAGTAAGACTGATCACCTTATGGTGGGGAAATAAAGAGAAAAATGTAGGGGAGCTGGCTCCCTCAAGAGCATGCCCCAGTGACCCCTGAAGACCTCTTTCTAGACCCCACCTCTTTCAAGCTTCACTGCTATGCAATAGCACTATACTGGATCCAGCCCTTAACACTTGGGTCCTTAGAAGTCACGTGTGGGGGCTGGAGAGATGGCTCCGTGGTTAAGAGCAGTGACTGTTCTTCCAGAGGTCCTGAGTTCAATTCCCAGCAACCCCATGGTGGCTCACAACCATCTGTAATGGGATCTGATGCCCTGTTCTGGTGTGTCTGAAAACAGCTACAGTGTACTCATCATATATATAAAATAAACAAATAAAATCTTAAAAAAAAAAGAAGTCACGTGTGACACAAACCCTAGCACATAGGTATTACAGAACGTGTTCTGTGCTTATTGGATGCTTATATATTTTCATTTGCGAGGTATCTATCAAATCTCCCTCCTTGTAAAACTACAGAGTTACAGACATGTCACCTAAATGTTTAAGCACGGAGAAAATAGTGTGTATTACTTTTGAGTGAGCCATTAGATCTCCTGTCTGAGACACTATGAGGAGAGTGGACATAGGAGAGCCATGGAAGGGGGAGGGGCAGAGGGAATGGATGGCAAGCTAGGCGGCAAGAAATGGTTGTTCTGTAACACCGTTGGATAACTGATTTTTAAGAATTCCACTTTTAAACAGTGGGCGGGGAGGGACCTAGAATGTCCTCAACATGAATGCTATGTGCTGGAGGTGAGAAATTTGCCAGTTACCCTGATCTAGTCATTTTGTATTATTGAAAATAATTGAAGTTTTCAGTGCATTCATTGAAAAGTATACCAGGGCTGGGATGTGGCTCAGTGAAAGGCCACTTGCCTAACCATTCAAGGACCCTAGGTTTGAACCCAGTACCACAAAAAGAAAGAAAGCAAGAAAGATGGAGAAGGAAATAAAGAAAAGCATATTTTAGTCTGTGGGTCTGTGTAATTATGGGTCCATTGAAAATAAATATATGCCGGGCAGTGGTGGTGCATGCCTTTAATCCCAGCACTTGGGAGGCAGAGGCAGGCGGATTTCTGAGTTCAAGGCTAGCCTGATCTACAGAGTGAGTTCCAGGATAGCCAAGGCTACACAGAGAAACCCTGTCTCGAAAAACCAAAAAAAAAAAAAAAAGAAAAAGAAAAAAAATATTAAAAAAGAAGCCCCACAAATAATTTCTATCTATATTTATACAAATATTTATTTATTTATATTTAAAAGTTTTTATTTATATTTATAACTTTTATTCTAGTTTTAGAATGATAAAGCCAAATAAGTATGTTAAAGCAAAAAAAAAACTTAGAAGAGACTCGCCTTTTCAACTTTCATGCTAAACTAAACTATAATGCACTACAAATTTGATTTTTTTCCTATTTCATGTTAGTGGTGTTTTTTTTTTCCTCTAAACATAAACATTTTGGAGGAACATTGTTGGTTTTAAGCCCTGAAGGAAGTTTTGTCTACATATGACAGTTTCGTCTGCCAGTTCATAAATGGTCTGGAAAATACTTTGAATTTTTTTTATTTTAGAATTATGGGCTTTGGCTTTCTGGAAATGGAATTTCTAAGGAACGGAAATACTGCTGCCACATGGTCATTGAAGTTGGAGCAGTTGGTCCAGAGAGGCACACGGTTGGAATGGAGGGAGGCTAATCCAGGCCCAGGGAAGGATAACCTTAAAAAAAAAAAAGCCAGAAGAGCTAACACAGTGGCTCAGTAAAGTGCCTGCTATGTAAGTGTGAGGTGCTAAGTTTGGATTCTACCCATGTAAAAGCAGAGTGTAGAAGTATTCATCTGTGTTCCCAGTACCGAGGGAGGAGGACAATCCTGAGGACACTGCGCAGTTTGTCTAGCAGAATTGGGGAACTTCCTGTTCAATGAGAATCTTCATCTCATAGTTAAGGTGGAGAGCAAAATGGAAGATACTCCTGTCAACTTCTGACCCCTTACATGTACACCACACACATGTATATGTATATATATACTAGCATATATACTCCTACATATCCACATGACACGTGTATCATACACACACACATACACACACATATACACACATGCACATGCACACAGACCTACACCCTGCATGCATGGTGGTGCATGCACATCATCAAAGCTCTTGGAGGTAGAAACAAGAGGCCAGTTTTGAGTTTAAGACCAGCCTGGATTATGTATTGAGACCCTGTCTCAAAAAATAGAAAAGATTGCTCTTCCCTGAGTGAACAGCCAGTGCTTGCACTTTGGGTTCTGCTGATGCTTCCCTGCTGCCTGTTAGGACCGTTTTCACTTCCTCTGGTAGAAGCAGATTGCCTTTGTAAGCAGTAGAGTCCATAGAGTTCTGGAGTCTAACCCTTAAATGACAGGAAGGACAATGAAATCCTGATGCTTAAGATTCACCCTGTTTATTCATTTTAATTAGAAAGTTTATTTTAATTGAGCTGTTTTTGGCAGCTGGGTGGTAACTGTTCTCACCTTTTTCCGCTTAAGTAGCTTATTAAAAGCTTTGAAAGGATTTAAAATCTTGCAGCTTATGACCTGAAGCATGGACTTTGGCCTGTAGCTTTATGAAAACGAGCACTTGCACCTGGCTCCCATTCCTTTCTCTTGGTGACTCTGTCACATTTGTCCTCCTACAGTTTGGAGGCTGTACGACCATTGTGGATGGTTAAATCTTAGATGAGATAATTTTTTAAAAAAATGTTTAGTCATCCTTCGAAGAGCTTTAAACTACCATTGAACATAAGTGACCTATTTTGGAAAATAGGTCCTTAAAATTGAGATATTGGGGGGTGAGGAAAAGCATTGGTAACTGGTCCTCTAGATAGTTTAACTGGGGATTTAGTAAAGAAACCTGTGGGAAGTGCTTATTCCAGCAGTGGGCAGCTACTAGCATTATCTCTGGAGGTAACTGAATTAGGGGGCTTTGGAGTCGAAGGTAAACTCACCAGGCTCTGCTTGGTGCCATGATTGATTCGATTTTTGCTTTTTAATATCTGTTTCATTGTTTTTGAGGCAGAGTCTCACATTGTAGTCTGGGCTAGCCTGGAACATTCTATATAACCCAAGCTTGCCTTGAACTCATGGAAATCTTCTTGCCTCAGCCTCTTGAATGCTGGGATTACAGAACTGAGTATAGCATTACAGGATTGTGGGATTCTATCTGCTTGGTGTCTTGCCTGCACATGTATCAGGCACTGGGGCTCAGGTAAGACAGCATCGTCTCTGATTCTCTAAAACAAAGTGTCTACCAGTTTTAAGCAGCAATAACCATGTGACCTCACCTTGGAACAAACCCTGTCAACTCATCTTATAAAAGAAAGCCGATTTTGTCACCAAAACCCTGTGCCTGACCTAGTGATCTAGTGTCATACTTCAAAGACCAGCTGCTTTCCCACTACGTGACTTCCTTTTAACTCCAGGATCCTTGGTTTGGTTTGGTAGTATTGTAGTTACCACTGTGAGGTGTGAGGTGGAAACAGGAGGACCAAGCATTCTGAGTCTCATTAGCTGCATAGCAAGCTTGAGGCCAGCCTGGACTCTTTCTTGCCAGAACCTAAACTAAAATCAAAGACTTTGTGAAAGCTTAGTTTATGGTTTAAAAACTTTACTGCCTAAGCGTAAATTGAAAATTTCCCTAAGCCTTTAGCTTTTCAATAGGAGAATCTGTGACCTAGTCATTTATTTATTCCTAATGATATCTAATATTAAAATCTTCCTGTGTGGCAGGGCCATTTTTGGTGAATTATACGTATTGACCCATGAGACAGGAAGCACTTATCCCTGTTTTACAGGTGGGGACACTGAGGCACAGGCACGGTGCTTGTAAACAAGAGCCAGCAATTATGCCCAGGCAGGTGCCTGCAATGCCACCATGAAGCTCTTTAGCATAGCAGGTACCCAGTAGGTTTAAAATAAACTTTAAATTCCAGCAGGATTAATTAAAGTGAATTTCAGATAGGAGAATCTTTGCTTACTTGGAATCTGGGGCTGTGACTCAATCTGTAGGGCTCCCAGTCCTTTAATTAAAGAAAATTA